TTAGTTAAAATTTGAATGATTTTTATTAGAAGTAATTATTAATTTTTATATTGAGATACAAATCTTTTTGCACTGACTCATAATAAGTTATAATAAATTATGATAAGTTACAACAAGTTGTGATAAGTTACAACTTGTAATAAGTTATGACAAGTTGTAATTTTTATTAAATTTTTTAATAAGTTGCAACATATAATTGCAATATAAGTATTGCAACATATACTAATTCTTTTATTATATTATAAATAAAATATAATATGACTAATGTAATCTGAAAAATAATATATTACTATTCAGATTTAATGTGAGCTCAAAAATGAGTTATATGTGATAAAAAATACTGATCTCACAGAAGAATTTTAGAAAGTATCTTTGAGAAGTTAAATAAATTAGATAATAAATAAATATTATAATATAATGTCAGATTTAATAAGCCAATAAAATAACGAATATACTTATATCACGTGAAAATTATTATTTCAAAATTTTGATAGCCAATACGCGTTTACCTCCCAAAAATACTGGGAGGGGGAAGGAATTTTTTAAACGGCCAAATTTTAAATGTCAATCATTTGTTATGGTCACGTGATTAGGCTATCTCGCCATTTATTGTTCATGTTCGCACGTGATTACATGACAGAATCATAGAAAATCGAGCTTAATAAAAATGTAAAATTTCCAAATATTCAATCAGGTAGTTTCCATATAGTCATATGACTGATTTTTTAAAATACCAAAAAAAAATTTGAAAACACAACCTCAATATGTCTGACGAACTGGTCTGGCAAGTTATAAATCAACAATTCTGCTCGTATAAAGTAAAGTACGTTAAACCAAATGTCATCCCTTAACGAATTCTTCGAATATCTAACTATTCCTTTATACCTAGAACCATAACACAAAATTTTTGCCGTAATGAATATAATGTCTCCGGTTTTTGTAATAGGCAGTCATGCCCACTTGCTAATAGTCGATATGCTACAGTTCGTGAGAAAGAAGGTATTTTGAAACTTCATAATAAACGAAAGGGTATCAGCCAGATTTAATTTTTTTTTATTTCGTTAGGAATACTTTATTTATATATGAAAATACCTGAAAGAGCGCATACTCCCGCGAAAATGTGGGAAAGAATCAAGTTATCCAAAAATTATCAACGGGCACTTGAACAAGTAATGAAGATTTATGTAAAATTACAGTTATATTCTATAATGGTTATAATGTATTAATTATAAAGCAAATAATTGACTTCTTTTTAAAAAAGATAGATAATGCATTGCTTGACTGGCCGAATTTCTTAATTCACAAGTGTAAACAACGGTTAACAAAAATCACTCAATATTTAATAAGGATGCGGAAATTGAGATTAAAAGATCGGTTAGTTCATTCATATACCAATTTGACAAGATTTTGAAGTAATTTTTTTTCGACAATTTGTTCGTTATTTCCGATTAGACCAAAATTAGTTGGGATAAAAAAGAAAACAGAAAAACGTGAAGCAACCCGCGAGAGAAAAGCAGAAGCAGCCGCACGATTAGAGAAAGCGATTGAAAAAGAATTGATAAATCGACTGAAAAGCAAAGCGTATGGCGATGCACCGCTTAATGTTAATGAAGATGTTTGGCGATCCGTGTTGGAAGGTGATAAAATCGAAGTGGAAGATGATTTAACAAGTGAAAGTGAAGTAGAGGATCTGAGAAAGAACGATGAGGTTAATAATTGTAATTTTATTTTAGTTTTTGACTTCTTAATAATTCTTTTCAGTTAATTATGGGTTATAATGAAATTTTTAATAGGAGCGAGAATTTATTTCCGATAACAGCGAAGAAGAAATTGATGACATGGAAGATATAATTGAAGAATATGTGCGATTTTTTTATTTATTTTTTTTTTTGATAAATCTTTTTGTATTTGGTTAGAATCGAAACTTGAATGTATTATTTTCAAATAGGAACAAGATGAAGAGGAAGATGATTTATCAGGGTTTAGTAAAAGCAGTGGTGGATCATCTAATGATGAAAATGAAGAGAGCGAAAAAGAGGATATAATCATGGTAATAACTATACATAAAATATAATAAAATATAATATAATAATTAATCTTTTTCTTTTTTGTGTAATAGGGTAAAAGAAAAATTTCGAGAAAAGAGAAAGAGCCAAGAAAGAAACGTAAGAGATTCTTTTTATCGATATTAATCGTCTTTTTAATGATTAATTTTTAATGAAAATCGATTAATTCGATTTAGGAGGAGCTTATGTTGAAATTGAATACGAACAAGAACAAGAGCCTGAGCCGATGATTAATATTACTTCATGGTAGAAGCAGTTGTAGTATCTTCTGTACTCTTCGTCCTATAAAAAAAATTGGTACAATAATAAAGAATATGATGTCGCTATCAGCCTTTAGTAACGAAAAGAATATATATATATATATATAAATAAATCAAATAGTAAATTACTTGATTTTGAGTTTCGAATTTGAGTATTTTATTTATTTACAAGTCGAATTATTCGATTGATGTTATCCCTTTAATCATATTATTTATTTATAGTCGAATATCATTAATTAATTAAAAGTCTATTATGAAAAATAATAACCAATCAGTTACTTTATAATTCTATATTTAGATGATAATGTTATTAAAAGATTGTTTTTTTTTGATGATTATGATTTATCTATCATTCTTCTGTTTTACCAATTTGAGCTCTCGCCCTGAATTGTTCAAATGTTTCTCTAGTTGCTAATCTAATACGATCCACTAAACTTTCAACAGAATCTAATGCTGGTCGTACATCCAAATAAAATATCGGAGTATCTCCTTCATCGGGACCTGCATAATAATCTATCACGTATCGAACTTCCTTGCCACATCGATCAATCGTCCAGTCGTGCCTATCAAATGGCGGTGGTGTACTATGAAAAAAGAAAATAGAGATTTAACAAAGTACAGATTTCGCATGTAAGCTTAAATATAGATTATTAACGAAAATAATGTTATATACCCGAGAGAAGGAAAAATCTTTCCTGCCCATTGTATAATTCTTGCTTTGGGACTTAATTCCTGCGGTCGACCACGAAATCGTAATAACTTTGGACCATCACAATCACTTTTTTTGATCAAAAGTACGATTGATTAATTATAATCTAAATTTCCTTTCTCTATTTACCTACCATTTTTTCATTCTCTCCCATTTCAATACTTCATTCCATGCTTCCTCGTTCAAAAAGTTATGGATGTCCACCATGGTTTCAATACTTTCCTCGGGCGTTTGCCACCCTTTTCTCACAAGTGCATTATAAAACTGTTGAGGTGACGGGTATTCCCAGTATTCTTTACTTTTTGCTTTTGGAATTGAGGAAATTACACGTGAGGTTGGTAATGGAATGGTTTGACCTGGCGCTGGCTCTTGAGTTAGTTTTGGGATTTGGTTGTCGGGCGATAATGCGTCACCTGAATGACGCTGACAGCTATTTTGACAGGAGTTAAGGGTCGTAGTGGTGGTAGTAGTTTTATTGTCGTGTATAGCAGACTGTTCTATTGAAGTGTCTGAGGTAGAATTGTGTTTACGCATTGGGCACTCTGAAGGAATTGGTTTCGCCGACATTTTTTTAATCAAATTGCTGTGAGCAATTGATCATCGACGATTCATGCTGCAACTAAACCAAACATTTTATTATGTGACATAAATGAGAGGCTGATGTGGCTGAAAGTTAGCTAATTTTAATATTTGATAGTAGCCATGGCAAAGAAAATTGCTCGGATTACGTGAAAATGTTCGGGTCGGAAAAATCCGAACATCCGAATCATGACGATGATCGGCGACACTTAATTCGGACATGTGACTTATGTCTCAACAAACACTAAATGTCTCGCTTCTAAAGTATTCGCTTCTCTCTTGTAATTATATTTGTTTAACATATTTTTTTTCAGATTTTTTCTGAAAGAGTTATTCTAATTGTAAAGTTAATGCAAAAATTTTTATTAATTAAATTTCATTTTTAATTAGCAAAAATTTTTATATTAACTTTATAATTACCATATATCTCTGAATATAAGCAATTCCTGAATATAAGTAATCATCTCTTTTTAAAATCTAAGATTCTGAAAATATTATATATAATAAATTTATACTCAAATATAAGCAATGCTTCCTCTTTGCCTTGTCAAAATCTTATATTTTTTGATTGCTTATATTTAAAGATATATAATAAAATAATTCTTTCAGAAAAATCTGAAAAAATATATGTTAAATTATAATAAATAAACTTTATTTTGATATAAAAATAAAAATTATTTTTTAATAAAATTATAAATTTTAATATAGAGATGAAATTTTAATTTTTATTATATTTTATTAATAAATTTAATCTTTGAGTTATTATTTTTAATTATTACTATAGTGATCATCAAAAGTAATGTAATACTTAAATTTTTTATTAATTATAATTAGTAAAATGCATGATTTTTCTTACATATTAAAGTTTTTAATCTTACTAATAAATATTTTTACCTCAAAAATAACTAAAGTTCTCTAGTTTAACATATAATATTTTTTAGATTTTTCAGATTTTTTACTGAGAACTTTTTTGAATTGCATATAAAGTCAATTAATTTTTATTAATTATTAATTAGTAAAAATTAATTAACTTTATATGTAATTAGAAAAAGTTACTAGTAAAAAATCTGAAAAATCTGAAAAAAATATATGTTAAACTAAAGAATTTAGCTATTTTTTAAGATAAAAATAAAAAATATTTATTAGTAAAATTAAAAACTTTTATATGTAAAATTATGTATTTTACTAATTATAATTAATAAAAAATTTAAGTATTACATTACTTTTGATGATTATCATATATATTATTTAATATAATAATTAACTAAATTTATAAAAAAGAAAATATATATTATATTATATTATATTTAAATTATAATCAAAGTTTTATATATATTAGACAAATTTATATATAATTATTTATATAAATATTATATTAATTTGATCAGTTTTACTTTTTATTATTATCTTGATTAATATTAAATAAATAATATATTTTGATAAATTATTTATTTTAATTATTATTAAAAATTTATCTAAAGTTTTTAATTATTATATACAATTAACCCTCCATAAATGTATGCTCTCAGAAATGGAAGAAAGCATGCATTTATGAAGAGTGTGTATTTATGGAGGATAAGAATTTGATTGGTTACATGTGAAATAAGAAATAATTAGTTATTTATTATAAAAAAATTGATCCATCATAGTCTGTTTTATTAAAGTTATTTTTCTTAAATTAATATATTTGTCAAGAACTTTGATATGTTTGAATAGTTTCTTAGTATTATTTTGTTATTGTAAAAAACTATAAACTATTTCTAAACTTTTTGAAACCTCATTAACATTAATTATTATGGGCTTAACACTATCATCAGCTTCTTCACTATTGCTATTATTAGGTAAGTCTAACTATTTCCTATATAATTCAACAAGTTTATCATCATCAGGTACTATGTAAACTTCCTCTTCTTCCAGATTACTTAAAAATTCTTCAATTGACATAGTATCAGAAAAATTAAAAGATGTAAGTATCTAAGAGAGCTTTCCTAATATTGACGTATCAGTTATGTTAAAGTTGGAAGTGATAGTCAGAAGAATTTGAGTATGATTCTAATAGTTTCAGATGATTTCTGATGTAATTTCATCCCAACTTCTAATAATAAATTTTATTACTTGCAATACATCCATTTTTAAATTTTTTATATCATTTTCTTCTTCAATTCAGATTAATATTCATTTAATATGCAAGTTATGATAATATCTTTTGAATGACATAATAATTCTCACATCCATAGGTTGAATTTTTGAAGTGGTATTTGGTGAGAGAAAGTGGATATTCGTGTTTGAGAGAACCATATCATCCATTTTGTGACTTGAGCAATTATCAAGTAATAGTAATACCTACTGGTTTTCATATTTTCAAGTGATTTCTTTATTGAATTCTTGAAGCCAATCTTGGAAAAATATAGTTAGCATCCAAGTCTTTGAATTATTTTGGTATGTCATTGGTAAATTACTGAGATTAATATTAGTAAAACATTGTGATTTTGCAAATTTTTCAATAATTAATGGATTTAACTTGTGAGATTCATTGATGTTTGTGCATAAAGCAATGCTAAGTCTTTTTTTATCTTTCTTATAGCCTGAAAGTCTCTGTGTGACTAATGATCTTCTGGCTCTAGTCTGTAAAATAGAATGGTCTCATCCATATTATATATTCTTTCAAGTGGATAGCTTTCACATTTACTTTTTAATAATGGCAAGGCATCAGTCATGATCACTAGATCAACTGATGATACTTCTCCATGAAGTTATTGTTGACGGACTTCATTGCACTCTTTAAATTTCTAGAGTCATTCAGAAGAAAATTTTAATGTTCTATCCAGAACTTCCAAGCGAACTGCTAATTGTTTTATTTTTTTGATTAAAATAGCTTTACTTAAGATTATTTTATTTTGATAAGTTAAAATGAACTCTTTAAGGGCAAGTTCGAGTTCAGGTACTGTCACAGATTTATATCTTTTGGCATTAGGTCATATAACTTTAGTATTAAGAATGTCCTTACTTTTTTGTAAAATTCTTGTTACTGTTGATTCATCTACTCTAACAGTCTACTGTTATTCGATCCAATCAACATATTCTTTTCTAATCATTTTATTATGATTGCGAGCATATAAGTAAAGTTCACGCTTTTGAGAATCAGATAAAGTTATTTTATTTTTTGGAGGCATGGTTATTATTATAGTAATAGAGAATTAATATATAAGTATTTGTAATAATAAAGTAAGAGAATTAATTATTCAGAGAGTAATGGGTTAAACATCATACTATCTACTTATATAACTAATATCTACACTCCATAAATATTTCATCATTTGCTTTATTGTGATACAGCTTCATATAGTGACTCACTAAAGAAATGGAATGTGGAAAAAAAAATGGTGAGATTCAAATATTTCACCATTGAAGAATTATCAGAGATCAAAAGAAAGTGGATTTTATTCATTAAAATAATCACAATAACTTAATATAATTTTTATTTTTATTTATCTTTTGAAATTAAACTAACTTGAATTTTCAATTTTTTTTAGCATTCCACAAATTGGTTTTATCTAGATTCTGCAAGCATCTATTAACTTCGTTCCATAAATTTTCAATTAGATTTAAGTCAGGGGACTGGATGAGCCAATCAAGTAAAGTGATATCATTATTCTCAAACTATTACTTGGCTTTTCTGGATGTATGTTTTGAATTATTGTCTTGCTGAAATATGAATTCACTATCTTCTAGTATTTTCTCATAAATTATATCTAAAATATTATTATTTAATATATTGATGTAGATATCAGCATTCATTTTGCTATCAATTTTTCAGAGTTCACTAACTCCATTAGCAGTTAGACAACCCCAAACCATAATGGAACTGCCACCAAATTTTATGGTTGGAGTAACATGGTGGTCTTTTAATTGTTTACTGGACTTTTTCCAGTACTATTTGCATCCATCTGATCCAAATAATTAGAACTTGCTTTTATCAGAACAAATTATTTTCCGCCAGTTATCAGCCATCCAATTTCAGTATTTTTTTATCCATTTTAGTCAGAGTTTTTTGTGTATTTTTTAAAGTAATGGCTTTTTTTGCTTAATCCTTGTGAATAAACTATTTCTTCTAAACATATATTATATGCTTTTCACTAAAATTTTGACTCCTAGTTCAGCTTGAAGCTCATGTTAAACTTGGATAGCAGTAGTACATTTTCCAGATGATATTAATTAGATGGTATTCCATTCATAATAATTTAAAAGAATATGTGAATAATCAGTTTTTGACTTATCTTCAAAGTTTCCAGTTTCTTCTTTATTTTTGCAGATGTATTGGACTGAAGCTAAGCCCACTTGTTCCAATAATGCGATTTTCTGAACTGAATATTCTTGTCAAAGAATATATATTAGAAGCATTTTTCTAGTAAAATATGATAAATTAGAATGTTTTTATCTATAATTGACACATAGCAATTTCTTTATTTGGTCTTTGTCTATAATTGTGAGATACAAATTTTATGTGTAATTTCTTAATATAATATAATCAATATCACATAAAGTCATAGGTATGCATTTAAAGAGAGAGATTTATCTATAGTGGGGATATGAAATGATCATACAGTACAGAATATGGAGAGTATGTATTTACGTTTAACTCCCAAACTTGAGAATAAGAGATAGCATGCATTTATGGAGGGTATACATTTATGAAGAATGCATTTATGGAGGGTTGACTATATAATTAGATATAGATTATAATTAAATAAATATATATTAATTAATTATAAGTATCTTAAAATTTAAATATATTTTATCTAGTTTATTAAATTATATTATTTTATTTTATTTACTTTTATTATTATCTTAATTAATATTAATATATAAATTAATAATAATATATTATTTATTTTAATTATTATCTAAAGTTTTTAATTATTATATATAACTAAATATGAAATATAATAAATAAGTATATATTAATTAATTATAAATATTTTGAAATT